GGACGAGTCCTATTACAGTTTGACTCAGTTTGATAATTGACGTTTTATTTAAAATTCAGCTCCTATCATCTGAAATAAACCGACTAATTTAACCAAAAAATATTTTATTTATGTTTCTCATATTGCGAAACACAATAATTATCATTAAATACTTTATTTATTAAGTGAACATAAAAAATGTTAAAATCAAAAGGTTCATGAAAAAAAATAGAATTTAATTATTTTATATTTGGTCGTAAATTTGAAAAAGTATAAAAATTTGGATGGAGAGATCGGAACAGATAATTGATTAATCACTTTTAATATTTATTTGTTACTAGAATTACAAATAAAGAGTCTAATCACAAATCATATTATAGTGAGTGATTTTCAAAGAAAACATTTGAGTATTGGTTGTTATCCACTTAAATAATTTATATAACAACTAAGTATATTTATCCATATCATTTTATTTTATTTTGGTTGACTAGCAAATTAATATATTTGATTAGATGGAAACAATTATAAAGATAATTATCAAGATATGATAAGTAGTTTTTCTATTGACATTTGCATTAACTTTTATAAATTTCAAATGGGTCCAACGAAATTGTAGAAACTATTAAAATTTGGATGAGATGTAATGTAAAATTTTAGTTTGATTACGTAAGGATTCTCTAGATGTCATTGGATTTTTATTTTAATAATTTTGCAGAAACTTAACAATTTTGGTCTTAAAGTGTATACTTCGAATAAAAGGTCATACGGAACGAGTTCTATTAGAGTGTGTCTCGGTTTGAGATGTGACATTTTATTTGAAACTTCAACTCACATCAACTGCTTAATCGTATAATCAAATATCTTAGAATGGTACATTGATGATCAAATAAACCAAATTAAGATGATAATAACAATACGAAATAAATTTAATAAAATATATGTCGAACTAAATGAAATATTCGAATAAATGAGATTCCGATTTATATTTATTTAAATTAAAAGTGGTTTGATTTCATACGGGTTGTTAAATCAATATTATTGTTATAAAATATACATATCAAATAAATATGGCATAATCTTGGTTTTTTTATTTAGGGAATATCCCAAAACAATACCTGAACTTTTCAATTTTCACAAAATAAAACCTAAACTTTGTTTTTTATCAAATAAAACCTCAACTTTATTTTTCAGTCTAAAATAAACCTGAACTTTATAATCATTATTATTTTGATAAAATATACATAACATATAAATATGACATAATGTTATGTTTTTGTTAAGTATAAAATAACCAAATCTTAGTGTATTAAAAAAATACAATGACTTCACAAATAAAATATTAATAGTATTTGTGTTGTATTCATTAATTTGATTAAATTAAATAAATATCCATCAAATTTGATTACCGATGACATTACATAGGTTTAATATTATGCTAATATTTTATTAAAAAATATTTATTAATCAAAATATATTATTTTTATATTTATAATATCAACCAAATTTATATTATTGTTTAAAATTATATTTATTAGGCTATCGATAATTATATTTTTTTAGATACTTTGGATTCACGTAAAGTAAAACTATTTTGTCAAGTAATAAAATTTGTGAGAATATTGTTCTAATATTCTATATTTTATTCATTGATTCTATATTATAATTTATAAAAATTAAACACATAACATATTTATCTCTTTGAAAAAAATACAACATTTAGTTATCTTCGTATTTAAAATGAAGTGTATATTTTATTTAAAAATATAAAATATAGAATCAAAACAATATATAATATTTAATTTTGAAAAAAATATATGTATTTTTAGTCTGCGCGATGCGCGCGGGTTAATAACTAGTATATATAAAAGTAGAGTTTGTGTAAGGAGGGTTTGACACCTGTCCCTTTTTTGTTAAGAATATGAAAGGTTTTTATTATGTGATTTTCAAAAATCAAATCTTATAGAAAAAGAAGGAAATACATATTCATTGAAAATAGTTTAATTATAGGATACATTAGTTACAAAGTCCAAGGAGTGACACGGAAATTTAGTCTAGCATTTATGGCACATATATATCTTCTTCTTTTTTTACTCTTTATTTATAATAACTAAATAGTTTATATGTGAGGGATATTTATATATATAATAATTATATTCAATATTTTAATGTTTAGTTTATACGTGAGGGATATTTATATATATAATAATTATATTCAATATTTTAATGTTTAATAAAATGTAGTTGAAAAGTCTTCATATTTTTTTGTGTATATAATAAATACATACATGAATTTACATTTATAATATGAAAGATGTTTACTATTATATAATTAGATTAGATTTCATGTTCTTTCACATGGTGATCTCCTTGAACAATATTTTTCCAAGGGAAGAAATCATCCATCCGCCACTTTTCTAATACTTGGAACCAATCAGAGCGATGTCATGAGAAGGAGCTGGTTTCATTCTTTACATCGTTGATCATTTTGAGGTATGATTCAATTCATATTGTTTAATTAACGATACGTTTTTCTATTTGTAATAATCGCTCGGTTTTTTCCTTAAACTTTTCGTTATTTGAGATAAATCTCTCAAAAAAAATTTAGCCTAATATTACGAGGTGAAGAAGAAGCCATGCAGCTCTTAGAGCACTCAGTCAAAGATTCAACAAGTAATTTTGTCTGCGCTGTGTGATTGTGTATATTAAATGACTTGAAACATCAAATTCATTGGGTTTTTTTTCCATAAGAATCGAAAAAATCCAAATGACTAGAGATTTCAATGAAGTAATGAATGGATTCAGCGATGAGAGTTGGTCGGTGATAGAGAGCAACGATGAGCAAAATGGTTTGTAGTCCCCGGGTGAAAAAATTATTAATTTATTCATCTGGATTTTTTATCTAATCAAATCTTTTTTTTCTCATATTGTATTCTTTTTTTCTACCTTTGAACTTTTTTTTCTAGGATCGAATTAGTTTGAATTCTGGATTACATGATAATGTTGTAATATTCTTAATTTGCAGATTTTACTTTTAGCTTAAAAATGTAGTGTTTATATAATCTATTTTGTTTTGTATAATGTTATTATGTCTTTGGGTTTTTGGCGTTGTCATGTGACACAATAGGCAAAAGTTAAAGAATCTTAAAATAGAAGCTAAAGCGAAGAAAGACGTTCACGTTGGCTAGGTAAGAATGTAGTAAATAGTTTTTTTTTAGAGTTTCCATTTAATTTTATGGTTAATTTTCTTTTATTGTATATTTTGTTAGATATATTTTGCTGTCGAGTGAGAAACATCAAATTGATGGTTCTATTTTTAAATGGTATGCGTCGTTTGATCATAAATTTAAACAACATTTTTTCCAGGGTTTATGGTGATGATGTGGTAGAGCTCCCTATTAACGAGAGAGTTCCATAAGACCCTTCAAAAGAGAACAATATTTTCTTAAAAGTTAAAAAATTATGGCTAATATATATATAGTACGATAAGTCATTGTTATATGTGCAGATTATTGTTATTATTATTATTATTATTATTATTATTGTGAAGTAGATTACTGTAAACTTTCAATTGTCTTTCTATATTTTTCTAAGTTCATCTTTAACATTCTTTATATATCATTTAAACTTTTCAATAATATTCAATTTTAAGTAAGAAAAATAAAAGATTTCTCATACTGCAATAGTTGTTTTTTTGGTTTATTGAATATGCTTTGCGTTGCACGACAATCTCAATTTTCAAAGTTCCAAAATATTCTTCCATATTTCTCCGATTTTATTCCTTATGTTTTTTTTTTTGCCTAATTTCATATAAATTTTGATAATGACTTGTATTTATTTTCTAATCAATTATTTTTTGAACAAATTATTTGAATTTTAATGGGTATTTTCTTATTTTTACTATATTCAACTAAATGAGATCACAACCTAAATTTATTTAAATAGAATTTGATCGCTTATGCTTAAAATATATAACACATAAATATTACATAATTTTAGTTTTATTTTTATAATAAAAGTGACCAAATTAATTTGTATATAATTTAATAATATAAATCTAAAATTTAAATATATTATATTTAATTTTTAAATTAATAATAAAATTATTTAAAACTTGCATATATATATTCTGCACGAAAAATTTAGATAAGTTTTTCAAAATATATATTATATTTAAATTTATTTTAAAATTATAATAAATATATTCTAAATTTTATTACCAAATCGACCATAAAAACGAAAACCATAATCAAATTGCTATTTCCTATTTATTCATCTTTTTATAAGGGAAAAAAGTTCTATTTTTATCACGAAAAATTAACTTTGGCTTTGAATGGAGATGAGTTTTATTTTGGTTTTTGGTTTTTGGTTTTTGGTTTCTATAATATTTGAAAACTAAAAAAAGTAGCTTTTGATTTTTCCTTTGATTTTTCCACTAAAATGGTTTTCCAAGTTTTTAGGAAAAATAATTTTGTAAAAACTTGAATGATAGTTTTTTTGGTTTTTGGATTCTAAAAACTCCAACCATTCAAGACCTTTGTCTGTGAGAAAAATCATTAGTACTAAATCGAAAATTCACATGATAAATCTAAAATGGATCTGATAAAAACCATAGAAATTGTTAAGGTTTTGGTGTGAAATAATATGAAATATCAGTTTGATCGGATAAAATTCCCTCAAATTTCAATGAGTTTTTATTTTAACTTTCAAAGACTTACCAAATCGATTATTGAATTTGCATATTGTAACAAAAGTTTAGACGGGCAGACAAAACCGTATCAAAAGTCTGGTAAAAATTGTTAATTTCTTTGAGGTCATAACTCATATGATGGATAATTTGCGAGATGATAATAAATTTATCATATATATGAAAACTAAGTCAATGTTTGCATTGTAGAATAAACGAGCTTTTAAAATTATAATAAGTATATTCTAAATTTTATTACCAAATCGACCATAAAAACGAAAACCATAATCAAATTGCTCTTTCCTATTTATTCGTCTTTTTATAAGGGAAAAAAGTTCTACTTTTATCACGAGAAATTAATTTTGGCTTTGAATGGAGATGAGTTTTATTTTGGTTTTTGGTTTTTGGCTTCTATAATATTTGAAAACTAAAAAAAGTAGCTTTTGATTTTTCCTTTGATTTTTCCACTAAAATGGTTTTCCAAGTTTTTAGGAAAAATAATTTTGTAAACACTTGAATGATAGTTTTTTTTGGTTTTTGGATTCTAAAAACTCCAACCATTTAAGGTCTTTGTCTGTGAGAAAAATCATTAGTACTAAATCGAAAATTCACATGATAAATCTAAAATGGATCTGATAAATACCATAGAAATTGTTAAGGTTTTGGTGTGAAATAATATGAAATATCAGTTTGATCGGATAAAATTCCCTCAAATTTCACTAAGTTTTTATTTTAACTTTCAAAGACTTACCAAAATGATTATTGAATTTGCATATTGTAACAAAAGTTCAGACGGGCAGGCAAAACCATATCAAAGTTTAAGTCTGGTAAATATCGTTAATTTCTTTGAGGTCATAACTCATATGATGGATAATTTGCGAGATGATAATAAATTTATCATATATATGAAAACTAAGTCAATGTTTGCATTGTAGAATAAACGAGCTTATAACGGATCGTGAAGGGTCATATAAATCAAATCGGGATGATTATAACAATAAAAAAATAAATTTAACAAAATATAGGTCAAAATAAATGAAAAGATTATAATAAATAAAGTCTCAATTCAAATTTATTTAATTAAAAGTTTATCGATTTTATATGCAATATTATTATGACAAAATATATATACTAAACAAATTTGACATATTTTTTATTTTTATTTTTTGGACTAAAAGTAACCAAATTTTATATTGTCAACAAAATAATACAATCAATTATATTATAAGGAAGTAAATGAAAGAATCATTTGATTAGTTTTGTATTTTATGAAATTGGTTGAATTAAATACATGTCTATGAATTTAAATATTGATGAGATTATATAGATTTAATATTATAATATTATTTACTATGAGATGTTTATTGAATTAAATATGTTTTTTTATTCATAATACCAACCAAATTTATATTGTTTGTTTAAAATTATATTTGCTAAACTAACGTTACACATATTCTATGAATATCTCTCAGTTTACAAAAAAAATAAAAATCTTTCATTTCGAGTCGTAATTTTTTTAAATCATTCATTCTATAATCCACATTTAAACCGTTGTTTTTATATCATAGCATTCATAATGTATTTACCATTCCGTTATCTCCACATTTAAAAAAAATATTTATATCGATTTAAGAATTTGAATATCGACTTAAGAAATTGAATTATAAATTCAAAAATAAAATAAATTATATTTAAAATTTTAAAACATATAACAAAATTATTTAAAATTATATATATATTTCTATACGCGCGTTGCGCGCGGGATTTTTACTAGGCGAAGAGATTAATATTCCTGCTTACCTTTTTGAAGAGATATAATGGCAAAAAGAAAATCATGGTCTTCTTCTCTACTTGCAAGTCGACTAAGTTCCATGCAGAACTCTGTAGATACATTAAGATTGATTGCCTTGAAATCCGTAGAGGTATAGACCAGAGCAAAAGAACTTCTACCTTTTTCCAATTTGTCAAGGCAGAGAAGGGCATATTGTTATGTACTAACGTTGCTGCTCGTGGGCTTGATATTCCTCATGTGGTATGTTTCTTGCCATTCTATTCATTTTTTTTTCTGGGGTATCATCTACCTTCATGATTGTCCAACTAATCTTGTTGATTTTGTTTGCTTCTGTAGGACTGGATCGTGCAGTATGATCCCCCTGATGACCCTACGGTATGCTATTTACGATTTCTGTTTTTGTCTTTTATTTTATACTTTTGAATTGTAAATGTTTGGATCAATTAGGTCTTTAATAAACTTATGAATGGAGAAAACAAGAGTATGTTAGTGTTGATATGTATGTCCACCCGAGCATCATCATCAAAATGCATGTACTGCCTGAACACACATTCATAGTTTGCCTCACCTTGTTTAATTTGCAGAGGTGTTGCTTTTTCTTTTGGTAGGAATATATTCATAGGGTTTGACCAATTCCCATCATTGGTCATTGAATGAAATAAGATGCACGAAAACCCACAAGTTTATCTCAAGCTATCTAACACCTATTACCATTCACATACATATAGAGGACCTTAAGGATGCGCAAAACTATCAAGAATCACCCTTTTTAGCATAGAAGCAGCATCCTCGTCGTATCATGTTCACAAAAATGATACGGAAGCACATGATCATAAGCTGGGTCTGGTTTGGTACAAAAACATATAAAGCTCAGTGTCAAAGCAAGACAGAAGCTAGCGAGAATAAACTACTAAAAGGCGGAAAATTGAAGGCTGACAAAAACGAAGAGCACAACTATCTATAAATTCACCCATTTAGCATATCAGTCATAAAAGAGAAGAAGAAGATTCCATTGGAAAGAATTATTCACTTGCAAGAAAACACATACAGCCACATGCATATGACTCGGAGCTGTCATGAAGGGATAGCAAGGGGAAGCCTTCTGAAGATCCTGATTCCAAAAACACAGACCCAACGATTTTCCCGCGATACCCAATTTTGAATTTCATTGGAGGCCACATGTATTCCTGGATCAAACATTTCATGCAGAACATGATCCTTAATGGAGTTTTTCAGCAGATCAGAACTCATCGTCTTCGTTTCAACAGAAGGGAAACCAAAATGCTTCAACCACAAGTTATGATCCCTCTTCACCGACCCATTCCAATTTTTCATTCGTCGTCCAACCATTGAATCGGAATGCTAAATTACCGCAACCAAAGTTATCACCTCCATTGCTCATTTCCCTTACCTCGTGGTTCAAAAAAGCGCGCCTTAGGGTTTCGCTTCTTAGCACAGAGGCGTTGCCAGTTACAGGAAGCGGCATGAGGCGCGCCTCCATCCTGATTGAGGCGTTTGAAGGAAAATAAACCAAAAACAAAAATAATTCTTCAGAAAAGGAAACTGAAGAGTCGGCGACAGAAAAATAAAACACCCCCAGAGGATCGACTGGGATTTTTCTTTGATCAACACGACGGCGACTGGGATTTTTTGAGAAGGAAGACAGGGATTTTCCTTTGATCTAACGACTGGTAAGGCAGTTTCTGGATTGTTTTTATTCATCTTCCTCCATCTTAGTTGCCTTCCATTTTTCGATTGTTGGTTTCTTCCATCTTAGCTGTCTGAACTTGAATTTAGTTTTCTCGATTATGATTGGTTAGTCTTGTAGCGCTTAGTTAATGTAAATATATATATATATACATATATATATATATGTTCCCTTAGCATGGACTGATCAATTTTTATATAATAATGAAAATTAGTATTAACTTTACACATATATTCCAGATCATTTGTATGCGTCAGCGTACGGACGCATGGATGCCGATGCGCCATGCGTGCGGTGATTCACTCTTGTGCCATTAATTACAACTTGATTTGTTTCTTTTGTATGTTGGATGTTTCTGCATAAATGATTACGCAGATATATCGGCTGTAAAGTACAATGTTTTTATCGTGTATATATACAATATATATATATATATATATATATATATATATATATAAGCACATTGCATATTAATTTACTAAAAACATCCAAAGAGAAACGCCAAAAATCCCACAAAAAACCATGCAAATCTCCGTTATAACATGGGACAGTAACAATATCTAACGTAAGACCACCACCAGCACACGCAGACCCATGAGTCAAAAAGCACTAAAACACGGATATACATAGATACATATAATATATTATATATAAAAGTGGGCTAAGAGTGGAGATATGGTGTCCCAAGGAAAAAAAAAAACATATGAATAACGAATTCTGCAATGTTTCACATCGAATGTTAATTAATTACATGGTTCGGTTCGAAACTGCATTCTCTCTTTCCAATATCTCTCACTTTTACAATCTAATCATCGATCTCCTTATTATAAATTGGTTAATAGTGGCGTATATTTTCATGAACGTCAATATTTTCTTCTCTTCTTGTTCCGTCTACATGAAAAGCCATGTTTTGGAAAGTTCCGTATAATTTCTGTTTATATATATATAAAAAAAACTCAAATCCATTTTTTGTTTAATGTAATTTACATCTCATAAAAAAAAAACTAAACACTATTTGTATACTTGATCATGACTTAATGATCCCAAATTTATATATGCACATAAACAGTACAAATAAGTTAATGCTGAATAAAATTAACTAGTAAGACATTAGATTTAGTCGCAATTATCTCGATGCGGCATATTCATCCGAATTTTTTCGATCTTTTAAAAAATTTAGTTGAGACAAAGGTTTGGTAAATTTTCGTATTATAAAAAAAGAACTTATCTCAACATTACCCGCTACCAGTTATCTCTATTCTGCGTCCTATATAAACGGCCATGTTCGTCTTCCATTGCTATGTATACATTAAAACTCATATATTTATATTCAGCAAGCATACATGCATGTTTTACGTCTATGAAGGTGGACACAAAATGAGTTTGGTCATGTGTGTGTGTATATCTATGTGTGTATACATATATATATATATATATGTAATGGAGGGGCAATGTCCAAAAGTGATTGCGGAATCTGAGTTTTGGATCTGCTTTTGTGGTGACCAAAGCTTGGACCCTTAGCCTCGAATACAGTGTTTCTTTCCCAAAAGCATCTCTCTCTCTCTCTCTCTCTCTCTCTCTCTCTCTCTCTCTCAAATTAAAGACGAAAGACCAAAGAATTGACCCCTTTGCGTTTTCTATTGGTCGGTCGATTATTCTGCACAGAAACCTTCTGTCTATTCTTTAGAAGAAAAAAAAGACCAAGGCAAAACATAGTATTATATACTCTCATTAAGGAAATATATAAAAAAAATCAGATTAATTTTTATTGAAGTTCTATCTACGGATGAAGAACACAAAAGAAAAAACATAACGTAACCTAATTACTCCTTTAGTTTGGTTTGATGAACCGATCCGTTAACCAACTTTGCCCGGTTATTTAATCGAATCTGAACCGAACCAAACCGATGGTTATGTCATTTCAATAGTTAACCCACAATTATTTGGTTTTGTTTGTGTTTTAAACAGTCGAACACCAAATTTTCATGATATGATTTATATCTTTTAAATAATTTTATTTACAGTTAAGATTAGTGGTCGCTGGCACTGCAACTATCAAACATCATCGATTTATAATCCTCCCAGTCCATGCTCGCTCTCCTACTCGACCAACTACATGCATTTATTGCCGTTTTCTCATCATCATCATCTTCTTCTTCTTCTTAACTCTCTCTCTCTATGTCCCTTCCTCTGGTCTCTCTCTCCTCCATTCTAATAGGGTTTTGAATCTTCTTTGATTTCGTCGACTGGGTTGTCCTCCTCGATTTCGCCGGAAGCCATGAGGGTCATCGTCGTTTCGCGCAGCGGCAGAGTTGTCATCAAGGGTGATCTTGACCTTCCCGATTCCGGACGGCTGTCTTACTCTTCTTCTTCTTACTCTTCTCGGATCTCTGTCCTCCTTCGTTTGCTCTGATTGGTGCCGATGAAGCTTTTGGAGATTTGGCATTTTTTCGAATCTGGGTCGATTCCGTATCTGGGTTTTGATTTGGTTTTGGGGTTTTGTTGACCGCAGGCGACAGTTGCTGACCTGCAGGAAGCAATTCACGAGAGAAGTGAGTATCCAAAGCTTTTATTGGGCAATTTGCTTTCTAGAAATGTTGAACTAGCTCTAATCCCTAGCACAAGTTGGTGATTCGGAATCGCGTGTTGGTAGATTTCTCTATATTATGTTATCTTTTCGATCAGATAACCAATCCAAGGATTCATAGTATTGCTACATTTGAGAAAGGATTGATTGTATTGCATAGAATTTCATTTAGTCCATTTGGTTGTGGTTAGATCTCGGGGGAGACTTTCGGAATATTTCATTTGGCATTTTTTGTGATTGACTAAACCTAAGAGCATTACAAGAATGATGCAAACGGACCAACTGGTTTCTTGGTTCTTCACGTCTATGTAGTAAGAGAGGTGAATGAGTGCCGATAAGGGGACACCCTGTTTGTTCTGTGGGAAGATTTGGAATGTCGCTTTTCCCAAATTTCAAGGTATTTAGAATTTTAGATCGGTCTATGTGATGAGAAGAGGAATTTGAGGCTATCTGCAATCTGTTTTCTACAATTCTCTGTGGTGTCATGCTTGAAGTCTTCTGTTTTCACATCTTAAATTGGTTGGACACTGGAAAATACGATCTACATTGATTGATTCCTGCCAAGTTTACTGAGCACTCGGCTATTCTGCTGCAGTTGTGGATGATCAGATACCGAGTATGCTTTTCACAATCGGTATTCGATTGATATGCTTTTGTTTTGTTGTTTAAACAGACAAAAAGTTGTACCCATCTAGGCAAAGACTAACTCTCCCCGCGGCTCCCGGATCTAAGGAGAAGCCCGTCGTCCTCAGCAGTAGGAAGTCTCTCAAAGATTATTGTGATGGAAACCCGGATAGCTTAACCGTAGTCTTCAAAGACCTAGGCCCTCAAGTGTCCTACCGCACCCTCTTCTTCTTTGAGTTTCTCGGGCCTTTGTTTATCTACCCAATCTTTTACTACTTCCCGGTTTACAAGTCCTTTGGCTATGGAGAGAAGCGTGTGGTACATCCCGTCCAGACATATGCCATGTACTACTGGTGCTTCCACTACTTTAAGCGGATTCTTGAAACATTCTTCGTTCATCGCTTCAGCCATGCCACTTCACCACTCTCGAACGTGTTCCAGAACTGTGCTTATTACTGGACATTAGGTGCCTACATTGCTTATTACGTCAACCACCCTCTGTACACCCCCGTTAGTGATCTCCAGTGGAAGACTGGTTTCGGGCTTGGGTTGGTTTGCCAAGCTGCAAACTTCTACTGCCATATCATTCTGAAGAATCTTAGGAGTCCTGATGGGAGCGGTGGCTACAAGATTCCAAGCGGGTTCCTCTTCAACGCTGTTACTTGCGCCAATTATACTACCGAGATCTATCAGTGGGTGGGATTCAATATCGCCACTCAGACAGTTGCAGGATATGTCTTCCTTGTTGTTGCCTCTCTTATCATGACCAACTGGGCCAGTGGGCCCTCGGGAAACACCGTCGTCTGAGAAAGGTAAAGCTTTTTCTCCTTGGATCTTTTGTTATCCTTAGGTCATAACTATAACTGGATCCATTTCAGCTGCTGCATTTTGGTATAGGGTTCTTAGTTTAGTTGACGCATTCAGTTTTTTAAGTTCCTGAGAGTTTGCCTAGCTAGTCAGGCTGAACTGCGAAAAGTTCGAGCCTTGATAAAATTCTGGGTTTTCTAAGAGCAAAGCAAATCCCATAAGTTGTCGTCATGGAAAGAACCACACAGAAAAAAAGGAAAGTTTGATTCTTTATTACTCGATCTCTCATTCTGACCCGAGCTGTTGTGTTCATATGCAGCTATTCGACGGGAAAGATGGAAGGCCGAGGTACCCTTGCCGATGGGTTATACTGCCTCCACTCATCTATAAGAAGATGCCGTTGTTACGAGCCTCACCTAAATCAGTCAGGTAGATCATAAACTTCTCAACGAGGTTAGAGAACTGAGGAAAGTTGCTCTGTTTTGTCTGCTCTGACTTGTTAAGTTTCTCTACATACTTCCCCTGCTTTTAGCACAGCTCGGGTTCCATAAGTCGTTCGATCTCATTGTTTCTGTGCCTACTAACTTTATATATCTCGTTTTGCTAGACCGCTCTAGGAAGACAAATACATCGGCGCCCGTAGAGGCGGGACAAATATTTTAAGGGTCCAACTGATTGTACCGCTACGTTTGCGGTTACGGGTGTGAGCGTTTGTTGACGATTATGGGCGGTTGAAATTGACTAGTCGAAGGAACTGATCAAATTCAAGAGGAAAAGAAAATAGTAAACTTGATGTTCACTAACCGAAACATACCAACCGGCACAATCTGAAATCAAAAACAATAACCAAAGCTTAAACCGGAATCCAAATAAATAGTTAATCTACATCAATTAACCGGTAGAATGACCGGTTCTTCTTGCATAGCTTTTTAAAGTGCAATCTCAAACTGAAAACAATAACCAAAGCTCAAACCGATATCTAAAGAAACAGTTAATCTACATCAATTAACCGGTAGAATGGTTCCTTTGCATAACTCTTAGCTTTTGAAAGTACAATCTCAAACCGAAACCAATAACCAAAGCTTAAACCGGAATCCAATTGAACCGTTAATCCACATTATTAACCGGTAGAATGACTGATCTTGTTGCATTACTCTTGAAAGTAATAAACAAGTGATAAATGTCCTGACCGGTCTATCTTGGCGATTCTCAGGTTATCTTTAACCAAACCTGGAGATGTCTCTTTTGTCCTCGGACAATATAATATGTGAGATTGTCAAGTGGTTAAGAAATAAAATAAAATGGACCGTTTGCAAAAGATGATAATAAGCGGTCTGCATATTTTATCAGTCAAGTTGCAGAACAAGTAGCAATTATTATTATTAATAATAATAATTTAAATACAATGGTTTTCTAATGGTAAAATTTAAATTCAACGGTTGCATTTACGTGTTTTCCATTAAAATCATGGCCCAATTAACACAAAAAAGGGCACTTACTTGTATACTTAATTAAATTTTGTATTCACTTTTAAGAACAGCTAATTCTTGTGGGGGGAAAGGTGTAAACTAAAACCGGGGGAAGATAGGTTGTAAATTTGGCTTTATTTTTAAAAAACCTATACTATTGATTTATATAACTAAACTAATTAGAAGTTGGAGTTCATAATATATTCAAGGGAAAATCCTAAAAAATATTTCATGTTACAAAAAAAAAACAATCGACACACATCTAATACGATAATATAGGCCGTTAATTCAAATTAGTTGGATTTTTTTTTATTGATTATCTGATTTGGAAAAAAATGTATTATAACAAAATTGAGAAACATTTAATTGGGTTTAAGTTATTTATTTCTTCAATAAAATATTTGTTTTCGAAAAAAAATTGTTTTGAAGTTTTTCGAATTTTTTAGTTTCGGATAAAATTCGATTCTATTTAGTTTTACTTTGGAAACTATTAGGATTTTTGTAACGATTAGATTTACAACTCCAATACAACATAATCCTTTGACAAAAACATTCACATATCTTCCATGGAAGTAGAAATACAAATTCCTAATGGCAAGAAAAAGACCTCAATTATTCGAATTTTCTACCAATCAATCAGTGGTTTATAACAATATTTTAGCAAAAAAAAAATGTAACAATAAGTAAATACAATTACACCAAAAAAACACAATAAATAAATACAAAATGTGGGAATGGAGATAAGAATAAATAAGTCGCAGACGTTTCGCCACATCACACACTAAAACTTGAGATTAGCGTTAAGAGGAATTAAACTCTGTGGGATTCCTTGGATTTATATCCAAAAGCTGTTTATGTTTCGCCACTACCATACATTTTTTTTTAATTCTTTCTTCGTAATCTGATTCGGATGTCACATATATATATATACTATTAATATACTTTCATGGGTGAACGGTTTGGGTATTCGGTTCGCATTCGATAGTTCGGTTCAATTCTTTCGGTTTTATAAATATAAATACCAATCGATTATTATATTATATTCGATTCGATTCAGTTTCGGTTCTGTTTTGATTCGATTTCGGTTTTTATTAAAAAAAAAATAGATCTTAAAAAATTTTAGTTTTTCATATTTTTTTTAAAATTCGGTTCGGTTCGATTTAATTTAAAAAATTCGGTTTTTAAAAATTAATATTGTTCAAAAAAATCGATTTCTTGAAAGTGAACCGAAACGTCCACCATGTGTCCAACGCTAATAATATAAAGCAACCACAATTTGGTGGGTTCAATTAAATTAACGAATATATGTAATTCTCTGTACTTTTGAATGACGTAATCAATAAGAATCAATTTTGTCTGTGTTTTAGTTTCATCATATGATTAAAGGCCTCTGCGTTCGGGTTTTAAGGCAAACTCGAAGGCTGGACCGGATTATTTTCAATAATTATATTCGAATCAATACAATATCAATTAACATATGTTATATCACAATCTTTTAATTAGATCAATTAAGTATTTTTAATAAGTTTTTGGCCTAAATCACACTTCGTTAGAATTGAAAATAGGTTAAAATTATTTTCTATATAAATTTCTCTTGTCTTTTTAAAAAAAAAAATTCATATAGTCTCATTTCTGTATCGAGATTCAAATACGATAATATAGATATCAAGAGGTTATATAACCCGATTGTTAGAAAATACAAAATCAATTATTACAATCGATATATATATATATATATGAAACAATATTTTATAATCAAATTACGTTCTTATGATTTCAACTTTTTAGAGAGATTCACACATTTCGCACGTAGAATAACTGTTACAACAACAACATCATCGTTTTAATCCCAAGTTTATTTGGGGTTAACCATATGAATTGTTCTTTTCCATTCATTTCGGTTTTGTTTCATATTAACTTCTATTTGCAACATATCCAAGTCATTTTTAATGACTCGTCGCCAAGTAACTATAGGTCTACCCTTTCCTCGTTTTTTCACTTCCATCCTTATACTCTCAAATTTTCTAACCGGAGCATCTAACGGTCTACGTTTTACGTGTCCAAACCACCGTAAACGTTCCTCGCGTAATTTTTCTTCTATAGTTATGACTCCTAGTTTCTCCCTAATACTCTCATTTCGAATTCGGTCTATTCGTATATGTCAATACATCCGTCGCAACATTTCTATCTCGGCCACACATATTTTGGACACATATTTTCCTTTCGCCACCCAACACTAACTACCATACATCAATGCGGGCCTTATGGCAGTACGATAGAATTTTTCTTTCAACCGTATAGGGACTTTGCGATCGCAAAAAACCCCGTGGTTTGTCTCCATTTCATTCATCCCGCTTTTTCCTATGACTAACATTTTTATCGCAATCTCCATATCCTTTTGAAGGATTGAACCAAGATATTTAAAATGTGGGTTTTGAGATACTATTCCTCCTTATAAGTTAACTCCTACATCACTAGAACGTCCCTCACTAAAATCGCAATGCATATATTCGATCTTCGTTCTACTAAACCTAAAACCCTTAGTTTCTAATGTACTCATCCATAACTTTAATTGTTCATTTACTCCTTCCCTAGACTCATTTATTAACACGATGTCATCCGAAAACATCATAGACCACGATACTTCTTTTTGTATATCTTTATTCAGTTCATTCATGACTAACGTGAAAAGGTATGGACTTAAAACAGATCCTTGGTGCAATCTTATCGAGAACTTGTATATTTTTAGTCCGTTTATCCATTACTAACTGTTAAATTAGTAAAATTTCAACACAAATAGCTTTCCAAAATTACGATACAATGTTAAGACAAAAAAATGTGAAAATTATATAATTCCATTTGCTATAATGAATTTGGATATTATTTTCATATCTTTGTGGACGATTCTTTTGATAAATTATTTTTGTTGATGTTAATAAATTATTGTGAACTAAAATAAAAGGTAGATTGTTATTGCAATTGCCATCTCATATAAATCATCAAAACAATATGAAAAATCCTACAAAGTATACTAAACTTGAAAACGTGTAAAAAAAACTCCAAATTTGCAATCTTATTTAAAAAAAAACACGAACATATCTCAGTTTTCAATTAAAAAAACCCAAATGTTTTATTTTGTTTATAAATTATCTTGTGGACTATATTGACCAATATTTTCAACAACTAACATTCTGCATGGCACGCAGCAACTACGTCTCAGTAAAAAAGTAAAAATTATACACGTATGCACATATGTACACATATATATATATATGTAAAAATGTGTGTGTGTATATATATTTGTATATGTGTATATATTTTTATGTTACGGCGTGGTTGTCACCTCATTAATTCGTTGGAAGAGATTAATTTGGACATAAAATGCAAGTTCATTATATTTGGTGAGAAAGTGGGACAATTTTTAAGTTTGTAAATTCAAGTTTTTTACGACATTTTTTTTAACAAAATTAGTGTTTTTCATATAATCGTAAATGATATATATATTATTGATAAGAAATTTTACTATTATTTTCGAAATATTTACTTAATCAGTTATAGATTGAAAAATAATGTATATTAAGGTATAATTGCGCGAGATTGTGATTCTACTAATTGGTTCTGATAATACATAAAATCCTTAGAAATCACAAGCATCGTGTTTATAGATATTTCTGTAGAATTAAGTCAAATAGGTTATTTTTAACTAAACTTTAGGTGTTAATGAGCTAATTTAACTAAACTTCTGATATATTTTGGGCTATTTAACATTTTCATGTTTCATCAAACAAGTTAATATTTTGAAGAATGCTGCAATATTTATGTCAATAATGGCATACACACACTCACCACCACCCTTTTGCAATAAGAAGTGGAATCCCTAGAATTCCCCCTAAACAAAGACCATATACATTATATATATATATATAATGCATGAATAGTAACACCTGAACGCTACTATAAAAACCAACCTCGCCCTCTTCTTCATTTCCCATTGCCAACTCATAGAACTCACATACGTATATATATAATACTGTTCTAAACCAACCAACGCCTTGGGATGGATCAGAAGTGTCTTGTAAGGACACTGAAGACATGGAAGCCGTTTCTAGCGGTCATGTTTCTGCAGTTTGGTATTGCTGGATTGGCCATCATCGCAAAGTCTGCTCTCAACAAAGGCATGAGCCCCCATGTTCTCGCCGCCTACCGCCACATTGTCGCCACTCTCGTCATTGCTCCTTTCGCTTTCTTCTTTGATAGGTACGAAATTATGTATCTTTTATCACATATGTAGATATATGTGTGTATATATATAAAAATGATCATTAAGTGACATTGTGACTCGCGATGAACAGGAAAGTGAGGCCGAAGATGACTCTACCAATCCTGTTCAAGATAGTGTTGCTCGGATTGTTGGAGTAAGAATTAGCTTGTACCCTTCAATGGAAATTTCGATATCGAGCATTTGTTTTGATTGTTTATTTTGCGAATGTTTCGTGTATATGTATAGGCCGACGATAGATCAGAACTTATACTACACCGGGATGGGATGCACTTCAGCGACTTTCACGGCCGCAATGTCAAATGTTCTCCCCGCCTTTTCCTTTCTCATGGCCTGGCTCTTCAGGTAACACTATCGATTGACAAAACCATGTGTTTGAGTACAAAAATGGTATGGAATTTTAAAGAAGCGTTGTACTTTATATACAGGCTTGAGAAGGTTAACGTTAGAAAAATTCCGAGTCAAGCCAAGATTCTAGGGACCATTGTAACAGTTGGAGGAGCAATGCTAATGACTCTTGTGAAAGGGCCTTTAGTTCCTCTTCCATGGACGAACAACCACAGTAATAGTCAAGGAGCTTCCAACCCGGAAACCAAACAAGATCTTGTAAAGGGCGCTATTCTCATCGGCGTTGGATGTATCTGTTGGGCCGGTTTCATCAATCTCCAAGTATAGTATTTCATCCAAAACATGTCAATATATGAAACCTCTTCCACACCATTTGATTGATGTTGTCCCATTTTCTTATCGATAATATGATATATTGTTATTCATTCAGGCGATCACGCTGAAATCATATCCCGCCGAGCTCTCTTTAACAGCTTACATGTGCTTGTCGGGAGCCATCGGAGGCACCATAGTGGCGCTCGTGATCGAAAGAGCCAATCCTGCTGCCTGGTCAATACAATTCGACTCCAAGTTACTGGCTGTTGTTTATAGTGTAAGCCACTTTAGATCTTCTAAAATATAAGCACATATATAAGGACATGCTTCCTTACATGTTAAAATCTTGTTAAGACAAAGACTTGGCATGCATGACGTGGCCTTTCGGATACAGGGAGTGATTTGTTCCGGGATTTCTTACTACATTCAAGGGGCGGTAATGAAGACTCGAGGACCCGTCTTCGTGACCGCCTTTAATCCTCTGAGCATGGTTATCGTTGCCATATTGGGATCTTTTCTTTTGGCTGAGGTTATGTTCCTTGGAAGGTAAGCCACTATCATTCAATATATATTCTATGTAAACCCTAAATTACCAGAGAATCTTGACATTCTTGAATCTTACTATAACATCACCGAGACAAAAGCGAAATTCGAGCCGAAAGAAGGATGTTAATTTAAATCTCAAAACGATGTTTTCGATCTTTTGTAGGATTCTTGGAGCAGTAGTGATAGTTCTTGGACTCTACTCCGTTTTGTGGGGCAAAAGCAAAGACGAACCGGCATCGTTTTCGGACATGGACAACGAACTCCCACTTAGTCACGTTCAACAAGTCGAGGGCGTCTCTTCAAAAGCAACCCGAGAAGCGGGAGCAATGACGTCTACCGATGAATCTGTCTGAAATAAAAAAATTTCAAACCGGGGTCTAGTTTCCAAACCGGGATTGCACATTCCAATTGGCGAAACTCCTATATATATATATATGTTTGTGTGCGTGTGTGTTTTATGTTAACGTGCATGTATTATTATTTTGATGCGGGGTGCAATATTAATATACATAAAAGCACCTTTTTGTATGGTGCTTTTGAGTTCTCGTCATATACATCTCGTGGGTTTCCTACGTAGATTTCCAACGCTTACCGATGATATTTTAACGCATAAAATGTATATATTATACAACGTATATGTGAATATGTCAGACCGATAAGAAACAGAGAACAAAGGGTAGATTAATTTTTTTTTCATACAAAAAAAAAACCAAAGCCTTGAATGGAAGAGGCTTTCGGGTTTTTAAAATCTACAAACCAAAAAAATTTACAATCAAATTTTTATAAAAAAATATTTTTTTAAAAAAACTTGAAAAATCATTTTCATAAAAAAATCAACTAAAAACTGAAAAACTCTTTTTTATTTATAAAAACAAAAAACCAAAATTTAAAATTTAAAAACCAAAAACTAAAAACTGAAAAATAAAAACTATTACCATTCAAACACTAAATTTATGGAGCATTGATGAAAACGCCATGACAACATAGGAGGATCCCCTTATAAATGGGTCATATATAACACTCGTAAGTTTAATTAAAAAAAAATTATTATTTTATAAAATTTATAAAATTCTAAACAAAATTGTTAAATACTCTTATAATAAAATTAAATTTGGTCTATAATAAAATTAAATTTACCCTCGAATATAAACTTCGATCCAACTTTGTTCTTTTTTTTACAAGGTTCTTTGTTTGCAGCATTCGTTGTTTACAACATTTTACATGGGTTACTTCCAATACGTTGTTTTGCTTTCAATGGTGTATGAACTTCATAACATGTTAGTGTTTGGTAATTAAACTTTATAGAGTTACCAGTCTTTAGCATGATTTATTTTAATTTGGATATTTTCTACGTGAATGAAAATCTTTCTTTTATCATATGCATATTTTCTACAATAAAATTAGAATTTAAATGGAATCGAAATCTTTATAAAAAAATAAATAGATATATTTTTTTAGAACCCAGAAATTGAAGTTGAAATTCTAAATATCTGCATAATAAATAATTTTTGTAAATTAGACGTGTGAAAAAATATGCCCGTCTTGAGCTCAAAATATGGGTCATTAATGGGCCAGCATTAGGGCTTGAACCAATGGTTTAGCTGTTTGTTTTCCTTGCCTTTTGCATTTCATCTAAAACCACCACCATCCTCTCTCCTCGCGGCGGCCAAAACCCTAGCCATCTGAACGTTGATAACGTCAGGTTCGTCTTCGCCATAATTTTCTGTTCACTTCTTCTTTCTTCGGTCTCCGGTTCATACATCTTAATTCAGCGAACATTTTCATTCGATCTCATCATTAGGCGGTATAGTGAAAGAGTTACAGGGCAGTTTTCGAATCTAATAGGCATTGCGATTAGTTTTCTGAGCTTGAATCTAGCTTGGCTGTTATCGTATCTCCGAATCTAAGTGATTTGGTTTTCTGGGTTTGTCTCAGGCTTAGGCGATTGGAAGGATCGATTTTGAGAAATGTCTCCTGCTAAAGGTACGTTGTCTGCCTTGTTACTCGCCGACTCTTGGTTTTGTTGTCTTGATTGCTTATCTTGAAGGATCCTTGAAAAAAGGACCGTTTGTTACATGTGTATACTTTCTGCTAGGTAGCTTGACTTGAATTTTTTTTCTTGTTTTCGTGGTGGAGATGAGATGCTTTAATGCTTAATTGTTTAAATTTATAGATTTGGTTTGTAAATGAGATAAGATTCTTAGGGTTTTTGAGTTTCTTGGTATCACAGTGAGTTTGAGCTATAATGTTAGATTCTATGAACCTACGATGCCACCAGAGCTGGCATTATTCTTGAGTATGAAACGCGTATCCGACATGATTTTTGTGTTAATGGCTCAGAATGGTTAGTGGGTTGTTGCGAATGACTCGGCAATAGGCTTCATCTCTCACATTGTATTGCAGTTGATGGTACCAAGAAGGCCGATCCCAAGGCCCAGGCCTTGAAGGCTGCAAAGGCCGTGAAATCGGGTCAGATCGTGAAGAAGAAAGGGAAGAAGATCAGGACAAAGGTGACCTTCCACAGGCCAAAGACATTGACCAAGGCAAGAGACCCCAAGTACCCACGAATCAGTGCACCCCCCAGAAACAAGCTGGATCACTACCAAATCCTCAAGTATCCTCTCACTACCGAATCCGCTATGAAAAAGATCGAGGACAACAATACCCTTGTGTTCATCGTTGACATCCGTGCCGACAAGAAGAAGATCAAGGATGCAGTCAAGAAGATGTACGACATCCAGACCAAGAAAGTTAACACCTTGATCAGGTAACTAACTTGGAAAGAAATGAAGTTTATAGATCATGGGTTGGATTTTGATATCTTGGATATCTAATGGGTGCGATAAACGATGATGGGTTATTGCAGGCCGGATGGGACGAAGAAAGCGTATGTGAGGCTTACCCCAGACTACGACGCATTGGACGTGGCGAACAAAATAGGCATCATCTAAGGTGTTTTTGCCTTTATAGTTTTCGGAAATAGAGCGCCATTTTTCCCTCGAAGCATCTAGTTATGATAGGAATTTAATCTTAGAAAATTGCGGCAAAAACTATACTTTCTCATCTCATGTGCTTCGTCGTCGGATTCGAGTTTCATTGCTCCTCATATAACTTGTTCGTACACCTCCACAAGATTTCAAGATGGAGATTTTCTTTTTTGGCGCAGTGAGGCGCTATGATATCAGATACCGGTAAAGGTAAGGTTGCTATTACTATGATCTAGGTTGAGTATGATGGATGATTCAAAAAATTTAGGACCCATGTATGGTTCCAAAAGGCTTCCGTAATTTGATACATGTAATTGTATCCGGGAGTTTTGGATGCTCTTGACAATGGATAAGTGTGGGAAATTATTAAAAAATAGATTTAAAACTCAACTTTTTTGCCGAAAGTGCACAATAATACTATTGATTCAAAGATTTTGTGACCCGTAACTAGAGGCGTCGTTACAGATTCGTTTTTTTTAGCGATATGAGCCAATATTTGCAAGATTTGTTTGGAAATAAACCTAGGTTTTTTTTTAAAAAAATTGATATTTTGATATTTTATTTGTATTTTTTTTAAATTTTATATTATATTTAATTTAAAAATTAATATTGAGGCAATGAAAGTCATTTTCATGCGAAGTCAAAACTCAACAATGTAGAGAATGTGAAATGATCAAAGAGATAACCCTCCACTGTAACTGAGAGCTGAGCTCTGTATGAACAATGCATCCGTTTCAGCTTCTTGAGATTCCAATCACAGAGAGGAGAAAATCGGAACACCGGGAAGAGTAGCTCCAGCATCAACAATGAAAGTGTTCCCGGTCACGTACTCAGAAGAATCGTGGATCAGGTACCGGAGGAGAGACGTAAGGGCAGGATCCACTGTCCCGTATTCTTTCAACGGCACGGTACGCTCTGCCACCTTCTTCAGCCAACCCTTTTCCATCAGAGTTCCCGTGATCTCGGACCTGAAGAGTCCGGGAGCTATCGAGTTCACCCTGATCTTGTGCTCACCCAATTCTAGAGCCATCATCCTCGTCATGATGTTGACTGCTCCTTTCGATGAATTGTAAGCCACGCCCCCCGGTAACATCCCTCGTTGAATCCCCGCTATGGAGCTGATGTTTATCACTGACCCGCCTCGTTTGGCTTCGCGGATGAGGCGGCAAACGTACTTGGAGACTAACCAAGGACCGGTTAAGTTTGTCCTGAAGACACGATCCCACTCTTCCTCGGACAAATCCAAGCTTGTCTTGACAGTTCCCCTGATCCCTGCATTGTTGATCAGAACATCGATTCTTCCAAACATGTCCCAAGCTTTCTTCACTGACGCCTTAATGGTGGCTGCGTCTGCGCAAACATCGAGCTCGAGAGCCACTGCTCGTGGCTCGGCAGAACCGAGGGTGTTGATTTCGTCGCAGAGGGAGTTGAGGCGATCGGCTCGACGAGCTGCTGCGATGATTCTGCAGCCGGCTCTGCCCAGATCAAGACAGAACTCTCGTCCAAGACCAGAGGAAGCCCCCGTGACAAGAACCACCTTGTCCCCTAGTTCACACCACGGCTCTAGCTGGCTCGACACCTTCTTTTGATCCAAAAAAAAAAAAGGCATTCACTGTTATTCAACATCAATCATGTCAGCGAACAAGGTGACGCTTTCAGGTACCTGGGAAATTTCAACGAATCAGAGTTGCGAGTACAGTTTTGGTCCATGATAAACAAGACGATCACGGCTATAACCGACAAGTTTAAGCACAGTAATCAACAGATATTAGCACAATTGCCATCTGATTCAACAGATTTACGCCGAATCCTTAACATATGAAGAAAACCCACCACCGAAATCCAATAATCACGAGAAAAAATTTACGAATCAAAGAAGAAACGAAACGGGTGAGGAGCAGATTCGATCAAGAGCAAGGATCAGAACATGCAAAAACCAAACTCAAGAGGAAATCGAGAGGCGTGAGAAGGATTATAAGCGAAGCTCACAACTTGTTTGTTCATCTTGCTCCGTCTTGAGATCTCGCAATGGACGACGAAGGAGAAGCAAAAACCCAGATTTTATATAATCTCACAGAACCCACACAGTGACATTGACATGAACGGCGCAGAGACAAGGAGGAGACGTTTGTCTGACCACCCTTGTGCATGAGACTGAAAATGGAAAGGACAGAGACAGGCTTGTGCTTGACAGTTGGGACTGTCTCATTGGGTTTTTTTTTTTTTTACCCATTTAGGGGTGCAATATTAATTAGTCTCACGTGAATTTATGTGGCTCTCATTATTGCAAAATTTAATAGTTTGCCGTAAAAACATTTCTACTTTATCGACTTTTAATTTACGTATTATTTTCCTTTTCGGTGGTGTCTAATTTTCGAATTACATTAATTTGATTTAAATATGATTGTATATTTTTCATGTTTAATATAATTTGATATTCGTGCAATATCATTCACGATACAAATAAATATATGGAAACAAAATAAAATATCATCGCCCAAATGGTCTCCAGCCTCAGGATAACAAATAAAATATAGAAAATCACGGTAATGAAAATTTAAGCTGGTCTCAAGGAGAAAATTAAGGTTAACAAAGAAGGATCGACATATAAACCGTATGTTATCATGGAACATTTCATTCATAATAAAAATGATACAAGAAATATAATTTGGACCGACGAAAACTTTAAATGATGCCGATTTTGTTAGCCACATCCAAAGCGTCGTAGTCCGGCGTCAGCCTCACGTACGCCTTCTTCGTTCCATCGGGTCTGCAGCATTGTCACAACATGCAAATGTTCGGATAAAAATTGGATACGTGCGCATTCAAATCAAGAACCACATGAAAAATCGTCGAGAGAAACTTTTGTTTCTTTCCGAGCAAGTTACCTGATCAAGGTGTTAACTTTCTTGGTCTGGATGTCATACATCTTCTTGACTGCATCCTTGATCTTCTTCTTGTCGGCACGGATGTCCACGATGAACACAAGGGTATTGTTGTCCTCGATCTTTTTCATAGCGGATTCGGTAGTGAGAGGATACTTGAGGATTTGGTAGTGATCCAGCTTGTTTCTCGGGGGGGCGCTGATTCGCGGGTACTTGGGGTCTCTTGCCTTGGTCAATGTCTTTGGCCTGTGGAAGGTCACCTTCGTCCTGATCTTCTTCCCTTTCTTCTTCACGATCTGACCCGATTTCACGGCCTTTGCAGCCTTCAAGGCCCGGGCCTTGGGGTCGGCCTTCTTGGTACCATCAACTGCATAAGATAAAGAGGCCAGGCGAATTTATGAAGACGATCTCTTAGAGCAGTGAATTGTACATTTATCATTAGCACAAACTCACTCTGTTAATAAAAAGAAAAAAAAAACTCAAAGAACCCTAAGATCCTAAACTTCATGAATCTAAATAATAATCCCCCAAACTTTAACCAAGAAAAATCTTCAGACCAAGAAATGCAAGAGAACTAATCACAAGCCAAGATTGCAATTTTTCAACAAGGATTTACATACATATATTCATATATATATATATATATATATATAACAAATGAAAGCATCTGGTATGACCCTTAACGCTATGTTCCCAAAATGAGAGATCGAAACCGTACCTTTGGCCGGAGACATTGCTCAAAGTCGATCTTTTTCCACCAAATCCCTTAAACCTGAAGCAAACCCATGAAACCAAACACACTTAAATTTCAAATTACAGAACCACAAGATATCAAGCTCTCCGCGAGATTCGGAATCTATTCCGAAATTCGACACTTATACATATATATATATATGTATGGACATCAAAGACTGAGAAAACGAACAGAAGCTGGTGAAGAACCTGAAGTTCGCAGCCGCGGAAGACGAGGGTTTTGTCGCCGCCGTCGAGGGCAGACGAGAAAGGCTTTTTTTTTTATATATGAAGTGGAAAAAACCTAACTCAATAATCTCAACACATCATATCGCCTATAAGGCCCATAATATGTATTATGGGTGAAATGTTGTATGATTTGGGCCAACATTTTTAAAGAAAATGGATAGGCCACAACGGTCCAAATTAGACATCAATAATCTTCCTATAAATTGATATCTTTAGACATAACTAATCTTAATATTTCAGTTAAATGAGATTGGATTTCATGGACAAGATTATAGAAAATCGCATTCAGATTTCGATTGATGATGGTTTAAAGCGAGATATCCCAAAATTACGAAAATATCATTTAAATTTAGAGAAAATTTCGAAATAAAATTACGTAATTAATATTGAATTTTTTTAAAACTATCACGAAAAATATAAAATTATTAACTACTGAACTTTTTTATTCTTACTAAAAATTCGATTATAAATAAACGGCGTTAATTCGTTAATGAAGTAGCATCGGATGTTACTCACATACATAAGATATGTATAACCTTACACAAATATATACACGTACACATACATACACACAAATGCACGTAATTTTTTATATGTATATCCATATATATATATATATATTATATAGATATATATACACATACATACACATCCACAATTAATTCGGACAGCACAACAATTTGATTAACTTTCTTGTGGAAATAGAAAAAAAACTCGAATTTCGTATATCGACTCGATCCACGGATCGGATATTCAAAGGAATGAAATATGAGATCAGGTAATGATATTCGAATATCCAAATATTCGGATTCGGATAATATATATTATACGCATGTATCTACGTGTATGCGAATAATACAAAAATACCTTTTAAATATTAGAGTTTAGATGTATTTATAAATATAATGTATGTATATAAACACATTATAAACACATTTTTTCTCTCTTAATTATAATTTTATAGATAAATTTATAATGTTTATTCTATATAAACGAAGATTTTTAAATTTTGTATTGTGTTATTTGATTTTAATAATTATATCTACATATTGTCGAATAGATTTATAACGTAATTTAAATTTATTTTATATATAAATACGTTTTAAATTGATTTGAAATGAATTTAAATATATATATATATATATATATATATATATATATATATATAAATAAATATACTTAAAAAATATTTGAATTCGAATACTTTTGGATACCCAAAAGTTGTCTAATGAGTTTTTGAAGTTGCATATCCGATTTTACGAATTTGGGTAATGAAATATGAAATCCGAGACATTCGAGTTCGGGTATCCTTAGAATTACGGATACCAGGCTCGTACTCGGCCCTACTTCTCCGCCAGGAGATGATCTGTAAATCCGGAGTTCCCCAAAAAACAAACGTTTCAGTGTGTTTTGGTTTAAAGAAAAAAGTAGATAGACCATCGATCTCAGTACTGTACTTCTTCGAGCTATGACATACCGGTTTTGTCCGTTCTCTCTCCCGAGTTCTATTGGGTTTGGTTTTGTTTCGGCTTTGGTCTGGATACCAAACACAAACAGAAACCCAATAATACTCTCCATAGTCAAATACCTTCATCACTATCTACCAAACCGAAAAGATTAAACCGGAAAGAAAGTATACCCCATTTAGCCGGTAAAGGATTCTTCTGAAAGT